TAGGGAAAATCAGGAAGTTTGGTACCAAATGGATGGCTGCCCGGCACATAGTACCCTAGCTGTTCGGGAATATTTAGACAATAGTTTTAACGGAAACGTTATTCGCCTAAATCATACAGTAAATTGGCCAACAAGGTCTCCTGATATTTCGCCAAATGATTTTTTTTCTCTTCTTCTTCTTGCGGTGCCATGCCTGTCTTCAGGCGTTGGCGATCTCCATGACTATTTCGTGGAAGAGTTCTCTATCTTCTGCTGCATGAAACAGCCTATCCATCCCCAGACCGATCCAGTTCTCTGGGGCCAGTTAAAAAACAGGATATACAAGGATAAAAAAAAAACAAATTTAGACGAGTTAAAAAATGCTATTTCTGCCGAATGCAATAGAATTTCAGTTTACCAACTACCGAATGTAAGAAGAGAATTTTATGATCGCCTGGGTTATTGTCTAGCAGTCGATGGAGGAATATTTGATCATCTTCTTAAATCCTAAAGTTCTAACAATTTAATGGTACCTAAATTAATAAGTTACTGAATATTGTAATAATACTATAATTAACCTTGTAATTGATTACTTTATTTTACTTTAATTCATATTAATTTGTATTTATAAATACATCTTTAAGATTTCCGATGTAGGAATGAGTTTTCAATAATAATAAAGCACTAAATAGGAAAATTTCTGAAATGACAACTTCATTTGACAGTTATCTTTTACCTTGACTGGTGCTCATAAGTAAATACAGGGCCATAAGAAAGGAGGAAATATTTAAAAAGAAATCGGCGATAACTCGTAAACGAGCTAATCAAAAATATCTAAAGTTATTCTTTTGAATGTGGGTTTTAGTGCTCTTCAATAAACCTAAATAGAATTATTCTTTAAAATAATTAGGGAAGCCAATAATTGACCCCATTAAAATTTACATGGGATTTCCTATGTCCCGTCCGACGATGCAACACCCGGTATAAGATATAGTATATTTTTTGAATTCAATATTTTAGATACTTGTTATCTGTTTTCTTTAGTAGTTTTATTTGTTATTAATGTTTTTTTTTCTTGTTGTTAGAGATGTTTAATATATCGAGATTACGTTAGAGCAACTTCTGACTTTCTTTAATCTTGTTATTGGACATATCGATTTTACGTTCAATTGTCCATACTATTTGTGATTATTTTTTTTTCCTTATTAGTTTCATTAAATGATAGAAATAATAGAGTTAGAGGACTTAATTTGAATGAAATATCCATAAATCATTATGATTTTCTCACGATTATATTTAACTATTATTCTAACATTCTAACCTTATATCCCTCTTCAATTAATATTAATAAATCAATTTTTTCTCATAGATGTTTATTTTCGTCTATTTAATAATCATCATAATATAATATTTTAAGCCCTCATTTATAAACATTTAAAATAAGGACACAATTTGATCAGTTTTAGGCCAGTTATGCTGTTTGTGGCGTTTATACCGGGTGCGTCTCAAAATTGGCTCACCCCCTATAACTTTTTTATTTTTTCAGATAAAGAACGAGATTTGGTATGTTAGTATATGACATAAATTAGGATTGATTGACGTATTCAATTGTTTTTGGTGACTTCGTGTTTCGCCGGAAATAACTACAACTTTTGATTTTTAAATGGCACCCTCGGTATATTTTTACTTTATTCGGTAGAAAATAACATTCTGAATAGAATGACATATCATATCTCGACTTTTGGCATTCTCGCTTAATAAAAAATCGTATTTTAAATTTCAATCAAGAGTGTCATCCATGGCTATGTTAAAAACGCTGATTTTTAATCAAGGAGCCTTGGAAAAATAGATTTGATCGTCTAACCTTTTTAATGTCTTGTCCTGGCCGGTTAAAAGATGCCCAAATCGTATTTATAATCATATTTCAATTTTTTTCAAATGGGACGACGGTGGCTCATTAACATATTTGGAAAAAGCATTTTTTACGAATAATTTGATACCACACACGTGGTATTTAGAGTCAAATTTTCGTTATGAACCGCATGTTATAATTTCAAATTAACCATATGCGAAAATGTCAAAAGTTGACATATGATATCAGGGGCGGATCGTGAATTTGTGGGGCCCTGGGCTGAAACTACTTAGTGGCCTACATAAGTCCCCAACTAATAGCCATATCAAAAAACTGTTTCTATAATGATATATTATTATTCTTCTTCTTTACGTGCCGTCTCTTTCGTGGAGGTTGGCGATCACATTGGCAAAATCTTCACGATTCTCGGCTTTCCTTATGAGTTCTTCAAAAGTTAGGTGAGTCCAGTTTCTGATGTTTCTCAACCAAGTTAGTTTCTTCCTGCCGAGACCTCTCTTTCCTTCAATCTTACCCTTAACTATCAATTGTAAGACGTGGTATTTTTCATTTCTCAATATATGCCCTAAGTATGATGTTTTTCTTATTTTTATTATATTGAGCAATTCTCTTTTTCTGCCTATTCTGCTGTAGACTTCGGTATTTGTGATATGTGGATTTAAGTAACATAAATGTTACTTAAATCTACGCAAGTATTAGTTGTACAAAAGGCGACCTTATTGCTGTGGTAGCAATCTCTTCCAGGCAAACTTTGGGTGAGAGAGAAACCGAAATAGTGATATTTTATAAGAATATAAAAAAAACAATAAAACAATTTTATTTATTTACTTATTATGAATTAGTAAAAGAAATTGATAGGTTGTAGTCACAGAAATTGACAGTTATTTGGTCATCACATTCCAAGTCTTTTGTTAGATCACAATTTATGGAAAGAAGTGATAAATTATTTAGTCGATGGTTCGACATTGTTGTCCTATATTTATTTTCTACATAGGACATCTTGGAGAAGGAGCGTTCTGCTTCACAGCTAGTGATTGGCAATGTTAAAAAAATCTTTAAAATGGTATAGCAGTTAGGGAACACGTTAATAAGTTTATTTTCATACATGAGCATAAAAATGTCACTGCAAGAGGTGTAAGACTCAGACATAGATTGGAGTAAGTACGATTTTAATTGAATGCACTCATTCACTAAATGCTCGTCTACGTCATCGGGATAGTAATCAATAATATGACGTGCAATTTCCAAATCTATGTTTTCGATATTTTTGTCTTGCAAATCCATTAAAAATTTGAATTTTTTGCTATATGTCTCATAGACTTGTCTCCTTTTATTTAAATCCATAATCAGCTTATCCAACGCAACTTTTAACGTGTCTCTTTAAATCTTTCTGCGCCGTATACTGAGAATTCACTATCATTCACTATGTAGACTTATCTGAAAATTTTGGGATAATGCGTCTCTTGTTTATGTAATTGTAGTCTATTATTACACTAGTACTTAATTTTTTAGCTTTTTCGTAGTATTCCTGTAACATTTGATCTGATTGATGTCGTATGTTGCTCACAAAGTCTTTTAAAGAAACAATTAACTTGTTGCCTTCACAAATGTCTAAACCAGGGCTCTGTATTTTTTTATTAACTAAATGAAATCTCTCCAAAACTTCTTCCCAAAAGATAATAAAAATTGCATTCTCGAGTTTCGCCATTTTATTGAATAAATTTCGTGCCTCTTTCCGGAAGTCAACTTTCTCAACCTCATTTTCGCTGAAACTCTTGAAAATTTTCATAATGTCATCATAATTATTTTTTAAGGCTTTGACAGCATCATAGTGGCAAGGCCATCTTGTCTGGCTTTAACTTTTTAACCTGAATTTTAATTTTATTTCACGATTCAACAGTTCCCACCTATGGGTCTATTGTTTTTAGTGGGGCCTGGGGGCCCCTTGTAACCTCGGGGCCCTGGGCTGCAGCCCAAACAGCCCGTAGGTAGATCCGGCCCTGTATGATATGTCATTCTATTCAGAATGTCATTTTCTATCGAATAAAGTAAAAAAATACCGAGAACAAGTGAATACGTCAATCATTCCTAACTTATGTCATATACTAACATACCAAATCTCGTTTTTGTAATTGAGAAAATAAAAACGATATAGAAGTGAGCCACTTTTGAGACGCACCGGGTATACTTTAATATTTCTTCCTATTTTCTGGAATTTATCAATGCAAATATCATTAGGTAGGTGTATTACTAAAAAACTCACGTCTATCCAATTAGTTGCAAGATATCCCAATGTAAAACCAATAATAGTTAAATATAACGTTATGTCAAAATGCACAAATTAAAGATTAAAACAAAAACTATAAAACAGGATTATTAAATTTTTAAAAGTTAAGAAATTAGATGAAATGACTAGTTTCGAAAAACTCTTATTTCCATCTTCGAGTCTTATTCGTTCAAAGTTAAAGCAAATCAAAAATCAAAAATAAATTCATGTTTAGTGACAAAAAAATTAAGCATAAAAATAGTGTTAAAACATAACTAATGCAGAATGAAAATGAGAAGTACATATTTAGTGTTTCATTCAAGATTCATATCACTATGTAACATATCAAAAAATGTTCTTAAACATTAAAATGTCACAAAGATTAAAAAAAAAATATTTTAAACAAGCCGATATTAAACAAAATGAAATATTTTAAATAACTAAGCCTAAACATATTTTTTAATCACCGAACACATATAGGAGTTAGCATATACGTAGGTATAGCATATAATAAATGTAATTTAAAAATATAATAATGCTTATGTTTATCTTCTATTATATCTTTGAATTAAATCACTGAATCCTTGTAAAAAATGCACATCCTGTATTTATTACGTGTAAGTGTTCTAAGATTCTTCTCTGACCTTATGGATGTAAATAAACAAACAAGCTCTGCACCAACGAACGACTAATACTAATTAATATAATGAAAGAGAATAATGGTCTTATTTTTTACGCATTAAATCTATTTTTATTTTAATCACTTAGCGTAACATTGTTTGCGTTAATTTTATTACCTTACGTTATTGTTTATAAACAATATGTGTATTCTTTGAAATGATCTTGAACATGTATTATTATTAAAATTATGTATATTATTTCCAGTGCTTTCTGTATATCGTTTTGATATTGCAAGTTTTGCCGCTGTATGGATATAGTGAGAACAGTAAATTTTTGGGCAATGACGCAGCAATGGAAGAGAAAACTTTAGGAAAAAGAAGAAGGCCTGCCAGCCAAGGTAAATGACACTTAGGGGAAACTGGGGCGTAATATCAAGTCATATCTATTTTGGCCAAGAAGAATGTAGTAGACGATTTAAGTTTTTAGCAATATTATAAATAATACATCGCAAGAAAATACCGTATGATCGAAAAAAACGGCGTCCAGTTTTCTTGAAAATGACGATCGATGGCATTCCCCATATAATCTTACATATAAAATAACAGCAACCTTCAATTCATAGCCATCGCTGACGCCGCTTTTATTTTCGGCCATATTGTATAAGTAATACAGCTTTTGTACAAATTTTATAAATAAATATTTCGGTAAGAAATTAATTTCTTTGTTCACACTCTGATTCACCAGAAATGACATCTTCTGATTTTTAAATGGCACCCTGTATATTTTTTTACTTTATTCGATAGAAAATAACACTATGCATCATATGTTAACTTTTGACATTTTCTCTTAAAAAACTGTAATTTAAATTTCAATCTAGGGTGCCATGGTTGTGTTAAAAACACTATTTTTGAATCAAGGAGGCTTGGAAAATAGATTTGATCGTATTCTCATCTATCTATCGTCTAGTATTTGGAAAAAGCATTTTTTCACGCATATTTTTTTAATAATTGTACCACATAGGTACTAGGTTTCAAATGAACCGCATGTTACAATTTCAAATAAACCATATGCGAAAATGTTAAAAGTTAACATACACACATGGCCAAAATTATTGCATATATCGTTTAAAAATATACGGAAAGGAATTTAAAGAATCTTTTTTATACATAACTTTGATAATCGGTAATAAACATTTTTTTGTTAAAATGGATATGGTAAACAATGTTTATCGTTCAGACCCAATATTATTACAAATTCTTGCACATTTCGATTTGTGGTCTCTTGGGTTTGTAGGAGTTAACCAAAGCGATGTTTCGCGAATATTACAATAATTCAGGGAGACAAACGAGGTTACACACCGGCCTGGAAGAGGTAGAAAGAGAGTTACTACTGCTGTCCAAGACCGTCAAATATCCCTAATTGCACGACGCAATCCCCTGCTTTCTAGTACTGCTATTAAAAATGACTTAGCTCGCATTGAAGGAGTAAATATTTCAAGAAAAACCATAGCAGAAGACTCCATGACAGAGGATTACATTTAAGGAGGCCTCTACGTGTTCCGAAGCTTAATTTACAGCTCAAAATTACGCGACTACAATTGACTGAGAAATGGACCTAATTGGAATTTCATCATGTTTAGTGATGAAACAAGAATAGGCTTAGTGTCAGACTCGCGACGAACTTTGGTCTGGAGAGCATCTGGAAGACGAATTTAAAAATATAATAATGCTTATGTTTATCTTCTATTATATCTTTGAATTAAATCACTGAATCCTTGTAAAAAATGCACATCCTGTATTTATTACGTGTAAGTGTTCTAAGATTCTTCTCTGACCTTATGGATGTAAATAAACAAACAAGCTCTGCACCAACGAACGACTAATACTAATAGACAAACGAGGTTACACACCGGCCTGGAAGAGGTAGAAAGAGAGTTACTACTGCTGTCCAAGACCGTCAAATATCCCTAATTGCACGACGCAATCCCCTGCTTTCTAGTACTGCTATTAAAAATGACTTAGCTCGCATTGAAGGAGTAAATATTTCAAGAAAAAACCATAGCAGAAGACTCCATGACAGAGGATTACATTTAAGGAGGCCTCTACGTGTTCCGAAGCTTAATTTACAGCTCAAAATTACGCGACTACAATTGACTGAGAAATGGACCTAATTGGAATTTCATCATGTTTAGTGATGAAACAAGAATAGGCTTAGTGTCAGACTCGCGACGAACTTTGGTCTGGAGAGCATCTGGAAGACGAGCACGCTTGAATGCAGCTCAACCCCGTATCCCGTTTCAAGGGGGAAGCATTATGGTATGGGCAGGTATAATACACGGAGCTCGAACTCCTCTTGTTTTTATTGATGGCACAATGACAGTTGCCTCATATCTTAGAGACGTTTTAGAGCCTATTGTGCGTCATGGGGCAGTGGGGGATGAATTTGTTTACATGGACGATAATGCTCTTCCCCATCGCACTTTAGCTGTTCGCGAATTTTAGACGAAGAGGGTATAAAAAAAACTGTGGTGGCCACCGATGTCTCCAGATATGAACATTCATATCGATCGAGCATGCTTGGGACATGCTAAAACGCCATATTGCTAAAAGGAATGATCCCCCCCCGTACCTTAAATGAATTGAAAATTGCTGCGCGCGAAACATGGGAAGCCATTCCTCAACATCTTCTAGACAACTTAATTGAAAGACGGGGCAACACAAGACTATTAATTGGGAGAAATAATTTAAATTGCTTTCAATATTTTCTGTTTAAAATAAAATTTGTTTTTGTTGATTTTCACTCATTATGAAATGAAATAAAATAATAACAGCCTAGTTGCACGTAGATTTTTAATTTTATATTAGTTAGTCGTGTAGTAAGCCTAAAATATAAACAGAATCTATTAGGTCCAAAATAAAATAAAAATATCTTTATATGCAATAATTTTGGCCATGTGCGTATATGATATGTTATTCTATTCAGAGTATCTATTTTCTATCGAATAAAGTAAAAAAATACCGAGGGTGTCATTTAAAAGTCAAAAGTTCTAATCATTTCCTGTGAAACAGGAAGTGACCAAAAACAGCTGAATGCGTCAATCAATCCTGATTCCTGATTTATGTCATACATATACTAACATAACAAATCTCGTTTTTATATCTGAAAAAAAAATTATTTATTTTTTTTATATTATTTTAATTTAAAAAAGTTTAAGCAATCATATGGATTAGTTTGGAAAAAAAGTTAACAATTTAATAGTTAACTTCTTTAAGTAAAATAGCTAAATATCCCTGTCACCAAAGTCACATTGTTGGATGTTAAAATAACCTCTCAAGATGCAAGAGGCTTCTAGTTATTCGCTGCACGTTCCCTGTTTATTGTCTAGACACAATTTAAATAATATCCTTGTTTATATATTAAAACATTGTAGTTTGTATAATTTTAGAGTAAGATATTTTAGAACTATTTTAGAACTAACAGTGTTCAAAGAAAGCTCCAAATGAGGTCGTAAAATTATAAATATAAGCTCGACAACGATATTCATACACAAAAAGTTAGAATTTCTTAAATTGTATGCTCTCGTTTTTCCCTGAAATACCTATATTTTCTATATTTCTCATAACATATTCTATTTCCCAGAAATAGAATTTTGATCATTTCAGATAAAATTTTCTGTACATTCTCTTGACAACATAAAAAGACAATTTCATTTAATTTAAAATATTTAAAAATATAGTAATTTTCAAAAATTCCTCTTCTAATGCCGTAATCTGTACATAGCGTAGACGACTTCTCGCATGTACAAGGTGTCCCATTTTCGTGTGTTTTGCAGGGTGTTGACATAAGTCAAAAAACAAAATGCTCAGGAGACATGGGTCTGATCGAAAAATAATGTTTTAGGAAAAGTAACTCACTAAATTACGGGGTGTTTTAAAATTAAAAACAAATTTAGGTTAAAGTAAAAAACAAACCTTCAATTAACATTATATAATGAACCAGATACTAAAGTTTATAAAAAACTGAGTTTATGAATTAAAGTAGATAAATTTGTATACAGTTTGCCAATGAATTCCTGAAAATAGAGCTAAAATTAAAAAAATATAACACTTTAAACTTAACGAAAAAATTCCTGTTTCACAAGAAACGACTACAACTACAACAAACGACGATACTTAAATGACACCCTAGGTGTTTTCTTACTATATTCTATAGAAAATGACACTCGGCATATTTCTCGGAAAATGATGCTCCGAATAGAATGACATGTCATATGTCAATTTTTTACATTTTCGCATATGGTTTATTTGAAATTGTAACTTACGGTTCATAACGACAATTTGACTCGAAATACCATGTGTGTGGTATCAAATTATTCGTAAAAAATGCTTTTTCCAAATATGCTAATGAGCCACCCTTGTTCCATTTGAAAAAATTAAGATATAATTAAAAATACGATTTGGGCATCTTTTAACAAAAACACGAAAAATATTACCCTTGATCAAGGATATTACGATCAAAACTATTTCTCCAAGGCTCCTTGATTAAAAAATAGTGTTTTTAACAAAGCCTGTATATTATATATGTACTGTATATGTATGCCTGTATAATGGCACTCTAGATTGAAATTTAAAATACGGTTTGTTTTAAGCGAAAATGTCAAAAGTTGATATATGATATGTAACCTATTCTATTCAGAGTGTCATTTTCTATCGAATAAAGTAGAAATATATCGAGGGTGCCATTTAAAAATCAAAAGTTGCGGTCATTTCCGGTGAAATAGAAACTGACCAAAATCAATTGAATACGTCAATCAATCCTTATTTATGTCATATACTAACAGACCTAATCTCGTTTTTTATCTAAAAAAATAAAAAAATTATAGGGGTGGGCAATTTTTGAGATGTACCCGGTATAAAATTAAAATTCATTAAATCTTTTTTCAGACTTTCAGCGTCAAAAAGATTCTCCTTTTAAAAAAAATTAATGATATTAATAATACCATTTTTCTTTCAATAACCCGGGCTCATTTACTTCTTCAACTCTTTTACACCCGATACCCCTATACATTCGAATAATTCTCAGAGAAATGACAAACGATTTTCAGGTTCAGGAACGAGCCCGTGCAATTTCGGCGGCTCCGGTTACGGAAAGAATAAGAACCAAGGTTCCGGTAGAACTTTCTTTGATTTGCAAATTTTCAACGTCGAACACAATAACCACCTGAGCATCGACTGCAGCGGGGGTCACGGTGGCGGCTATCCCGTCCATCCAGCTCCCGTCACGGAATTGTACGTGGAAGACGGAGGTCACAAACCTGGACACGGACACAAGCCGATAGGTGTGTATGAAAGCCTTATTTTATTAATAGTATTTACAAGTTACATAGTTTTCTAAACGACTCACAGAATAACTGTGATTTAAATTAGAAAATTTACGGTAAAGAAATATGATCCAAGTTGAATAGTGTAAATTATGTATTATATAAACCTGTGTTCTGTGTTAACACATTTCACCTCAAGGGCGGTTTACACGTTACGAGAAATCGTAACGATGTTTTGTCATATATTGTTGTCGAGAGCTCTCGATATCGACTCCAAAATAGCTTTTGCCATGGAGGAAGTAGTGTTGTTGTCGTTATATATCGGTTGTTTAGCCTTAAAAAAGTGAAAAAAACGGGGAAACCAAGAAAAAAATGGAGCCGCGAGTGGTTGCTAAAGAAAAGGCCATTCTCTCATTTTACTTTTAACTAGCCACAAACAGGCAAAACTTCGATAAAGTTCTATAAATCCACTCAAGAACTCTCGAGGAGTTTGTCTGTTTGAATTGTCTGCCATACCTATTTTCGATGTATACACAAAAATCTTTCCGATAAAACAATAATGGAAAACATAAACCGAACGAAATCGTAAAGAGAAATGCGTTGCAACTTTTTTAGACGTTCGAACATATCGTTACGATTCGCAGAAATTGATGCCGGAGAGCATCAATCATCCAATCCAACTCCAATTCCAATAAATCGCTACAATGTTCTGTTTATACCTAACGATAAATCGAAACAATTCGATCGTTACGATTAATTGCTAGCATTTCTCGTAGCGCGTAAACCGCCCTTTCCTCTGACGCAAAAAGAACTACTTTAAGCGGCAAAACATTGGATGCGAATTCGGTACGAAAATTTTTTCGTACGAATTTCTTATGAATTTGTACGACTCATGTAGTTACACTGAACGCGTTTGTTCATCAAATAGACAATTAAAAGTTCATAGTTGCTATACATAGAATATAGTTACTCTAAAAATTGGCTGGCAAAGGCTGGCACTCAGAGTAGTAGAACTATATTTTCTTTGCCTAATTTCTACAGCTTCTTTGTAGAATTGAAAAGCCTTTTCACTAGTGAAATAAAAAAGTGGGTTTCCATTTGAAAAAAATGATTTATGATAATTGTTTAATCGCTCAATATGATATTCGAACAATTTAATTTTTGAAATAGATAGCCACATGTCTTCTTTTTATGGTACAGTGGCTGTGGTAGTCACTAAATTTGACGTTTAGGCTGTACAAGTTTTTTGACAGGGAGTTTTTTCCGTCCAAAAATTTTAAATATTTTTTTATCTCAAAAACGATTAATATTAGGTATAGAGTGTTTAATACCAGAATTCATAAAATTTTACAGAGAATTTAAGTATGTAATGAAAAATGGAGGCACCCATTTTAAAATAAGAAAGATGGTGTCAACTTTCGGTATTTCAGGAAGTTCCGCCATATTGAAAATGTTTTTAATCAACAGATCTCGTTGTGAAACAATGATGTGCAAAAAATCTCCGATCTAGATATTGTAGTTCTCTAGAAACTTCTAATGCACGCTCAGCCTGGGACACCTTGTATATAGATAATAATTATAGATTAAAAAAAAACACTTATTCATTATTGGTCACATTTTATTCATTATACTTATCAATCTTATTAAGATAGATGTCAAAACTGTAGTTAAACATAATAGAACAAAATGGAATAAGTAAATTCAATATAAAATTTCAAATATATTAAATTTAACAAAAATTAAATTTTTGGAGTAAAATATTACAAGGGATATTAATCAATATTTTGTCTTAGGAAACCATGGAGGAGGTGGCCATCGACCACCTTTTGGTGGACATAGACCTGGCGGGGGACAACATGGAGGTGGAGGCGGTTTGTTTGGCGGTAGTGGAGGTCATCACAGGCCCGGTGGAAATGGAGGAGGTGGAGGATGGTTTGGGGGGCTCTGGGGAGGAAACAGACCTCACGAAGGTAACTTATAAATAATACTATCATCATTTCTTATGTTTCATTTAGATGAAAAGTAACATGCATCATGAAGTGTTTTAATGTAAAGTACTTATTATAAAAGAATATTCTTTACAGTGTAAGGAGGCATTGCATGTGGGTTTGACTGATCAAAACCAGTAACCAGTCAAATCTCCGTTTGGCGCTGTTATTTTTAACTCTTTTTTGTACCTGTAAAAATCCTGATTAGGAGGATATATAGAAGAATATATTTGAAAAAAGCTACGCTTATAAAAGATGTACACCCTACACAATACTTCCATGTTTAGCAACATTTTATTATATAATATGTAATATATATTAAATAAACACTAATTTAAGTAATCTAAATTAATTAATTTAAGTAAAATCTATGGAAATTGAAAGAAAAAAATATATTTTTAATTCCAAATAAAACCTACATTTAATTTAAAAGAATTAACGTTACCATTTTATTATGATTTTAGTGAAAATATACTTCGAGGTAGTGCCTATAGCTTTCTGATAGATTCAATTCTGCAAACTCCGGAGAATATTACCATTGAGTTATTTACCTTAGTGGAGCCTAAAAGCAATGTGTTTATTTGCAAAAAACAAGTGTTTTTACTTTTATCTAAACTCATCGGCAAAAGTCTTGCACCCCCTTACTATTTCAATAAAAAATTACATTCCAAACTAATTTTTCGTGCAAATCAATAGATGCTAAAGTTATATTAAAAAATAACACAAAAAATGGAAAACTTTCACCAAGTTTAATAATATATTTTGCCAAAATATAAAAAATGCAAATTCCATGAAAAAAATATTTGACAAAAAAGAGAAAATAAATAATAAATTCTGACAAAGTTAAGGTTACTAATATAAAGTATTGCCTCCTCGATTTGTTATGAGTGCATCAAGTCGTCGGGGCATCCCCACTATAAGGTTATTTATGGTTTCTTGAGGTAAGTTCTGCCATTCCTCTTGAGCGGCAATGATCAACTCCTGGCGATTTGTTGGTGGGTTATTTCTGCGAAATACAGCTCTGGCGATGTAGTCCCAGACATGTTCAATAGGATTCATGTCGGGGAGAGTGGAGGCCAGTCCAGACGAGTTATTTCCCCTTCATTTAATGCTTCCTGGACTATCCTGGCTCTGTGAGGACGAGCGTTATCATCCATGAGAATAAAATTATTGCCGATTTCTTCTCGCAGTGGATAAATTATTGGTCTGATTACAGTTTCCACATAAAAATGGGCGTTCATCACCTCAGGAATATGAATGAGCTCTGTTTGCCTATTGTACATGATGCCACCCCAGAACATCTCAATTCCTCCTTGATAAGGAGCAAGAGCAAAGGCTGTATTCAAGCGATGCTGCCTCCCTGCCTCCCTCCACACTCGCTGACGATAGTCATCACTGATCAAACCTATCCTGGTTTCGTCAGTGAAAATTACGTTTCTCCACTGAGGTAATAACCAGTTCTGGTGTTCTCTAGCCCACTGTAGCCTCCTTTGTCTATGATGTAAAGTTAATAGAGGGACTCGCATTGGACGTCTACGCCGCAATCTAGCATTAGAAAGTCGCCTGGAAATGGTTCGGCTTGATATCACTCGGTGGTAAGTTCGTTGAAACTGAGATCGTAGCTCTAGAATTGGAACTGACCGATTTCTTCTGGCAAATTGAGCCAAGTAGCGATTCTGTCGTGCAGTCGTTATCCTTGGACGGCCCAACCTAGGACGAGATCTTACATTTCCGGTGTCCATATACCGTTGTATAATTCGGCTGACAGTACTTCGCACTAAATTTAAACGATCAGCAATTTGATGCCTGCTGAGACCTTCTTCATGCAAAGCGATAATTCGGGCCCTATCGAAGGCAGAAATTTCGTGCCCTGGCATTTTTGTCGCCTTTCACAATACTTACTACAAGATTGAACTCGAACTGAGAAACAAAATTTGACCGTAAATAGCAAAACCATACACATTCCATCGATAAGGTTTTCTTTCATTGCTTTTATGACCTATTTTTTGTAGACACATATTAAGGTATTTGTACACACAGCCACAACAATATGCTATGCAAAGAAATAAATTTGTCTGGGGGGTGCAAGACTTTTGCCGATGAGTGTACTAGTGGCAATATCTTCCAAAAGTTTGCAGAAATTTCTCTTAAACTTAAGTTTTAAAAATTTAAAATTTGACGTTATGGAATACATACAAGCATTCTAACAAACACAGGTAGTCAAAATCATGGAAGTGGAGGTGGCCCGTTTGGAGGAAATAGACCTATTAGACCTCAAAATGCAGGAGGTAATTAATTTTCTATTTCATATACAAGTATAATAAATAGCATAGCTAAATACCAAATTTTATTAAAATTCTAACAAAAGTATATGCCGCGTAATTTTATAACTGTCTTTGAATGAACTAACATAAATTTCAATAAGATTTCATGCATATTTTTATAAATTAAACAAAATTAGTAAGTGACCATTTCAAAAAGTTAAATATGCATTACTTTCTTGTTAATTTCTTGTTCATTATAATAAAAAAAATCAATATAGGAAACACAAAATAACTTATATTTTAACAACAATTAATTTTAATTTTATTTTTCAGTGAAATTCAAAGTTATATTTATCATTAGATATATTTTTTTATCAATTTATTTAAAAAATTTGGAAGATTTTTTTTAAAATCAATTTGCCCGTTCAGAACATGTTTAAGCCAGAATTTGTTTATTTATGTATAAAAGTTGATTCTCACTATACTTTCCGTTTCCATTCCATATCCGTTCCGTATTTTTTATCGTATTGACGCTATACGTAAGCTTCCATTCCGTATCAGTGCCATACTTTTTATTGTACAATTTATATCATAACGAAAGTTTTATTTTTAAAATGTGTATCTTTTGAAAAAGGTAATAGATTTAATTAAGAGGTGAAAGAATAAAGTAAATGTAAGAACTAGACAACGCTGTTTCCGATACGCTTCAGTCCGTCTGCCAAAAAAATGTATGGAAGGAAAGGATATGGAACGGAAAGGAAACGGAACATGTGCATTGTCCTACTCATTTGCATAATATAATATTTATGTAAACGGAAGGTAGCTGTTACGGAAGATATAGTGAGAATCAACCTTTACTAGTCCTATTAAAAGATCTGTATACAGTATCTATTATCGTAATAAAATATTCAATTTTACAAGATAAGAAAACGTTAATCATAGTGTAACAAATTATGCCAGCTTGGCAAAATCGTGCAATAGTCAAAATTATAATTACTAAAACATGAGATTATTACTGCTACTCACTTCGTTAGCAACAATTGTTAATTGCTACTGCAGTGAAAATTAAAAAAAACTATGTTAAATGATGATCATCTAAACAACAAACTTTATCTAAAAAACTTTTCTATAATAAGAAAAGGACAATCCTATTGCTACAAATTATGCTACACCATTAAAATGGTGCAATAATTAAAATTATAATCTTAATAAAAGTTGGTTAAGATTACTGGTAATTACTTGGTTAGCAACTACTCTACTTGTTATAGTGTTTTAAAATCTGATTGGTATTTGAGTTTAAATTCAAGAGGATTTTTAGTAGATCTCCGATTAGTATATTTTGACTGACACAAAAATTTCTTAAACAACAAACATATGTAAAAGTGTTTTTAACATTATTTTAACGATACATATATGTAAGAAACTTTACTCACAGAACAATAAAATTAAATGTTGTCTTTTTAAAGTTGTAAATTATATTAATTACCAATACTTTCAATAATATTGAATTGCATACAATAAATTAATATCTGTTTGGTCCATAGGTGAATATAACGGACCCTTCGCGGGAATATTTCCATCTCCTCAACAATTCGCTACCGGACTCTCCGACGGAATTCAGTCGTTTATCGGCACAATTCCCGATATTGGTCAAAGCTTTTTGCAAATCTTGCCTTCTTTCGACAATTTTCAACTACCCTCTTTACCTCAATTTCCTTTTGGAGGTATTTAAAATACATAATACTAGTAAAACCTCTTTGCGACTAATCAGATATATTTGATGTTGACTATAATATAAAATCAAAATTTTTAATAGATCTTTGTAACTTACATACTAATTGCTTATTACTCAATACAACAAATGATAGTTTTAATTAACAGATAATACATTAATAGGCATAAAAATCAATATAATCCGATAAAATCAAGATCATTCATGTTAGAAGATGTAGTATATCGGTTTACGATATTTAAATACACAGGGTGATTCAAAAAACATGTGCCATCTCCCGTGGGGAAATTCCTCACGTAAAAGTAAGATTTATTTTTCATATCAACATAGGTCCGATTCTGCTTTGTTTCGTAGCTACAGGGTGTTAAAATCTTAATATTTTTTCGATTTATTGTAATTTTCTTCCTAGTACTCTTAGTGTTTATTAATGTGAGTAATGAAATTTTGGGGGTAAAAGTAACTATAAATGCGACATATTTTAAAGCTAACCAAGTGTCGACATATTCACCAGGGACGTTCATATGGGTTATCACTGAAATATTTTCTAAAATAAGCATGTACGCCAGTGATTTTTTTCTCTTGTTAGCGAAATAGAGTAAGCAGTTTAATGCCGATTAATGCCTTAATGAGATAAATCCAATTATATTAATTTACACTGATCCAAATCTAATAGCAACCTTTAAAAAAATTTAATATCATTAACTTGTGAAAGTACTCATTGATTAACTCATCAAAAAATATGAAAATAAGAAAGAAAAATCCTGTAGACATGGGTATGGAAATGCATAGATTTAGTTACAGGATATTATTTTTTTTAAATTAGGTTTTTTGTAATTATCATAAATACCACATAATAACTATTAGTAATAATATTTAATAATAAATTACGTAGAATATATAATTTATTAATTTTATTTCTATTTTAATTTTATTGTGATTAATAAAATTGCGTTTATCTCATCAAGGAGGTCAAATTCCACAAAATATCAATAGATAACTTTTAATTAGCATTAGACGGCCTACACAATTTTGATATCAAAAAAAAAGTCAGTGGCGCACATGTTTTCTTTTCGATTCCAGTGATAACACATATGCACGCCCCTGATAAATTTGTCGACACCTTTTTAGCATTAAAATATGTAGCACTTATAGTAATTTTTACCCTTAAAATTTCATTTGAGTCCCTAAAAGTTCTTGGAAGAAAATTATAATAAATCGAAAGATTATTCAGACTTTTAACACCCTGTAGCTACGAAACAAAGCAGAATCGGACCTATGTGGATATGAAAAATAAATCGGCGAGATGGCACATCGTTGTTGAAACACCCTGTACTTTAATCATGCACTAATATGTTATAATTTAAAAATTGAAACGATGTTCTTTGACCAAAAAAAAATATTTGCAAGGTTCCTACGTTTTATATGTGAGTGAAAAACAAATAAAGTACAGTATCAATAATTACTCCAAAAAAAAAAGAGAACCAATAGTATACAGTAATAGTAATAAGCAATTGACGTAAACAGATAAATTTATGATTACAATGTTAATAAAGCTTTATAATAATTTATTTTAATACAAATAAAATATAGTCAAATAAATATTTAAGTTATTAATGTTGGAATTCAAAGTACCATTTATCAATGTAATAAGAGGTTTTACTCTAATAACATAATATTTTACAGAATTATTTGACCCCTGTATCCTTTTATACATATAAAACTGAATGCACAGGTAGCCAAAGCCAAAGTCAAGCACAAGGAGGCTTTACAAATGGACCAATAAATTCATTCAATAGGCCTCCAACTTACAAACCACCTGTCAGCACATTACCTCCAATTGCAGCAACAAGTCCGGCTCCAACTCTAACTACAGATCCGGACGATATTATTTATAACGACGAAATAAAGCCAGTGCACGAAGACTACGATCCAGTTTTAGATATTTATAACAATAAATTACCACCTGGTTAGTCCTTGTTATCAACAGAATCGCCGATTAGCATTCTTTGGTGTAACAAAGCAGACACAGCTCATAAACTAACTTTTAAGGGGACCCATTAGATAACATAACAAAGAATTCTAACCATATTATAAGTCCTTATGTATAGCACCCTGTATATTTTATTATATGCGTTTTTTATGCAAAAAATGTCTCTTGGTAAAAATTGCTACGAGTAATGGTTCTCGAGATATTTGGAATCGAAATTATCAATACCTGTCATCATTGAAAAAAAGTAAAGATGTTTTTGTGCCAAAAGTTCAACAGAAACTGTTTTATGATCATTTTATCGATTTATGATTAATTTACAAAAATAAAAAGTTCCCAAATTTATCATTTCAATCAAATAACTATCTACTCAACATGTTTATTTTTTGTCAATAATGACATGTATTGGACATGTATGACGGTTATACGGTATTTATACCCAGCTGGCAAGCGAAACCTTGGGTCGGCGTTTACATGTATAGGAGCGAATCGCTATGGCAATCTAGTATGACGGAGGAAACAAAAATACGAAGTATTTATTACATAATCACTTAATTTGACGCTAGTACATCTTATTTTACTAAGCGTGTTGACCGTACTCTTCGTACACACGAAAATCGGCACCCAAGACCAGAAATGCCGACCGTTAGTATACGATTATCAGACGAAGAACACGTACATATATACATACACTATGATCGAAAAACAAAGATGTCTATAACAACGGTCACCGATAGCTATAGAATAAAGATCGTTGTCATTTATATGTGAAATTATATGGGAAATGTCATTGATGTTCATTTTCAAGCCAACTGGACCCCGTTTTCATTTTCGATAATACGGTATTTGTGTATAAATTCAACATAATCAATTGTTAAGAAATATTTCAATCCACATTTTCGGTGATAAAACAAAACAACAACTCATTCACTAACATTTAACCCTTGTTTCAGGATATACGCCGCCTGGGCAGTATTTGGTGTTTTCCAATCCTCACTTGGGCAGCTACACACAGGATTTGGGCATTTTTAACCCTACTAATCTGTATAACAAATTACAACAAGGAATCGAGGGAGCCCTAGATGAACTCGGTTCCTACTTTTGAAGTGACTGATTAATAGGAAATGCGCTTGCCATTTTAGTTAAAGCCAGGTGTTTATTAATGTTTTTTACGCTGACATAATATCTCATTATGCCTACTCACGTTAGTTGATTTTAACAATAGAAAATTCGTTCATAGTCACTGTGCATTATTTTAACTAACATCAAATTTTATTACGATTATAATAAACATAACATATACAGTGTGATTCAAAACTATACAATATTCTTTTTGAGGTTCCAAGATCTCAATGAGACATACTATAGATTGTTGCTCTTAATGTGAAATTAGCCCAATATGTAATCAAAAATGTATACCAAGGCGTCAAGATTACTAAACTTAATGACTGGTCCAATTTAATAGTTACGGAAAAAATAATCAGAAAATTTTAGCAAGTGGGACTTTTCAAAATATGTTCTACAATAATTAAGAAATTCCAATAGTTAATTATTATCTATTCTAATAGTGAATACTCAGTCCTAGGTACCTATTCATAAAATAAAATGCAATTGATCAAATTGAAGAAAATTGTAGAACGTCTATTCGAAAATACATTAAATTTAGGTACAGGTATTTAGCAAATCAGTATTTTTTTAGCCCCCATCCATAATTCAATCGTCAATTACCAACAACATTCATTTTCAAATAATACACCAAATAAAAAAATAAACATCTCCGATTCAAAATTGGAGTAGTTTTCATATTCACAACTTCTGCATTCCAGAAGTATAATCGAAACATTGAAACAAAATAGTCTAAAAATCAACACTTCTTCTGAGAGCTTTACCACATTAAGACATATTGTGGTAAAAAACCTAATTAATTAAATATTCCATAATAAACATCTATCAGTTTAAATCTACACATGAGTTCCCATGTGTAGAAACTCACTATATATAAATTGACACACTACACATATTTTTATTACATGTAGTTCTTATCATGTAACTCTCCAAGAATCAAGATAGTGGAATAAGATCCGTGTTTCACAAACCCGTAGGTATTAAAATATTCTTTGCACGTAGTCAAAATAAAAAATATTTTAACAGCAGACAAATTACATTTAAAATACACTACATTTTTTGCTCTGTAATTTTTTTAGTATTAATTTTGTTAAAATAAATTAAATTGATGCAAAATCGTTCTGAATCACATTGTAAATAATCATATATCCTAATCCTGATGTAAACTTATCTTACATTTAACATACTAAACAGGTGTATTTAATATTATGCATTTGATCAAAAAGTCTTATGATTAAACTTTGGACACTGAAGAAATATAAGAAATTAACAGTATTTGTACAGCATCAGCCTTAAATGCGATGTGATCATAAAACTTTTGATCATTCCATAGACCAGAGTGGACAATGTCAACTCATTGAAATATAAAAACTTACAGTATGGTAAAATGAGTTTTATGAACAAGCAAACATTTTAGAGTAACAGACAAGAAATACTAATTTAACTTAATATTATTTTTTTATTCTCTATAACAAAAGCCTACTTGTTTATAAAACGTTTTAATCATACAGTAAGTATTATAAATGTGTGATCAAAAATTTTTGATCTTGTTATACAGGGTGTAGTTTTAAATACTCTCATACATCAAACATAAACTATATAAAAATTCAACACGTGTTATATTGCCATTTTTTATCAATTTCAGGTAATAATAACAGAATATTTAACAGATATTCGCAAAATAACAATTATAGACGAGAACATCGGGAAAGAGATCAACCATATGCCAACAGAAACTTCTATACTCAAGGCCAAGGAAGAACACAGGGAAAAGTTTTAGCTTTCCATCATAATTTTATTTTTAATTTCTCTATAGTGTAATTAAAAAATAATGCTGTGTATAGAAATATTTATTTTTAAACATAATTTCGTAGATAAACTTTTTATATTTTACTTAGTAATATTATATTTTAGTACGGTTGTGTTTTATAAATCAAAAATACCAAATTCTAGCAAAAATATGGAATCACCATTGTGAAGGCTGGCCCTATTTCCAAAAGAGTTGATATACTAGTTGTAAATTCATAAAATCTGAAAAACAAAATGGTTATCTTATAAATATACTTATGTTCATATCAAATAAACTTTTAGTCACGTGAAGATTCACCGGAACAGCGTTGCCCAGTTTTGCGTATTTTCTTTTTAATCAAAATATTTTAGAAAACAAAAATAAATTAATTATAAATATACGGGGTGCTACAAATTCGAAGTACGAGCATTGGTATCTCGGTAACCGTAACAGATACGAACATGGTTAAATTGGGGCAAAGTTGCGCTTTGTGATGTTCACCAAGATGCCATCAAACTTTTAAAAATTTCAGGAATTGCTGAGTTTTTTGGAAAAACTGATTTTTTGAAAATCAATTTTACTTTTCCTGTCGTTACTTTTTAAAAAATCAAAAACTAATTACAGATTCTCATAGCCACTTTATGGGCTATCTGATAGTATTTTTAGATTTTCAAATTAGCTGATAATTTGTGAGATACAGACACCAACTTTTTTTAAATACAAACCTGCATTTTTATTTCAGATTTTGAAAAACTCGGTCTCCTGAGGACAATGATATGCCACACTTAATTTTTTTTGTTTTGACATTTGAACACAACTTATTTAAACTAATTTCAAGTTCGGTCCTGTTTTTTTTAATATTTAATCTATTCATCGTTACAATATTGATTAGCATTCAAATTTAACAATGACGTGGAGTAAAACATTGAATACGGAAAATCAAATGCAATAAAATAATATAAAATAATTAATACAAACATAATATGTATAATATAAAGAATCAAATCATTTTCCCGGAAGATGGATTGGAAATGGTAGAAACAGTATAATGTCCAGCGAGGTTTCTGGACCTATCGCCAAGTAGCTACATTACTTGACGTCATTTCTAAAAAAGTGAAATCAATTAATCTCAACATTTACAATAAAGACTACCAAATGCATTCGGAAGTATAAGAAAAAAGTTCAAAGCGCTATAAATAAAATTGAACGAAAAATAAATTTGTTCAATAGGGAGGGTGGTAACCCTTTCGAACATGCAGAACATTAGAAACTAGTGTGTAGAAGTTGATTTATTTATAATAACAAAGGATTAATATTATGCATATTATTAGATCGTACACTGAGATTTCAAATTCGCAATAAAAAAGTTAGAAATAGTATCTTTAAATTTCTGACCTGGATATTATTAATTTGAATCTTCCAATTGGCTCGATTTTCCTTATTCAATGTTAATTAGCGCTGATCAATATTGTTGCGATGAATATAATCAGATTAAATAATTTAAGAAACCAGAGTCGGACTTGAAATTATTGTAAATAATTTCAAGCCAAAACAAAAAAAATATAAAGTGTGGTACATCATTGTACTCAGGAGACCGAGTTCTTTCAAAATCTGAAATAAAAATGCAGGTCCGTATTTAAAACAATTAAGTTGGCCTCTGTATCTTACAAATTATCAGTTAATTTAAAAATCTAAAAATACTATCAGATAGCCCTAATAAAGTGGCTATGAGAATGTGCAATTAGTTTTTTGATTTTCTAAAAACTAACGACAGGAAAAAATAAAATTGATTTTCAAAAAATCCGTTTTTTCCAAAAAACTCAGCAATCCTTGAAATGTTTAAAACTTTTTTTATTTCATCTTGGTGAATATCTCAATACGCAACTTTGCAAAATGAATCTCCAGCGGGAAATTTAAATTCCAGTTAGTCAGCCCGGCGCCGAATATGTCCATGGTTGGCAACAATAAATTTAAAAATCGCGGCCTAGATTACGTAACTAAAAGTTTAATTGGTATCGAATATACATATATTTTTTGTTTTATAAAAGAGTATCTATGTTACCTTAAAAATTTTGTGTTTGATTTTTGTAGATAAATTGAATGCCAGGTACTGTTTTGTTTTATTTCTAATTCTTCCATAGGATTTACTTCTAATATGGACACGTTGTCTAATACGTTTGATTTCCTTTCACCTATGCAATGCAAGTTAATATTTTTAAATATAAATGTGTAAAAAAATAATGTAAGGCGTTACCAAAAAATCTTACCCAGCAATTTTATTTTTCTCAGACTTCCACTAGGCAAAACTGTTAATAAAACCCAGTCTAAAAATGTCTCCATGAAATTTAAATTTTCTGTTTGAACAGATACGCCTATCTTTCCTTGCAATTTTATATCACATAGAAAAATATTGTGTACTATACTTCTACTATTTTCTCTTAAACCCTGTTTTGATATGAGACAAACATTTTTGGCGCCAACATATTCTCTTTTTAAACAGTCACATGAGTTCTGCAGCGACAAAACAGTTTCATATTGAGGTATAGTATTTAATCTATCAGGATGTAGTAACCTTGAAGTTTGTTGTTCTTGAATGAACAGACTGTAGGAATTCTAAAAATGTAATCATACAAATAACATAAGGTTTGTACGAATAGGGATAAATGAATGATAAAAGATAGAAATGGATAGAGATATGAATGAATTATTAGACACACACTACACTCTACAATTTTTAAATACAACAATTTACAAATTTTTTCGACAAATTTAAAGGGCTATATTTTTTATATTTTTAGCCATATTTTCATGATTTTTTTAGCAAACTGTATATAAATATGTCAACTTTAATTTGCAAACTAAGTTTTTTGTAAATTTTAGTATTTAGCTTTATTATACAGGGTTAATTGTAGGGTTGTTTTTTACCTTGACTTTAAAATACCCTGTGCAATAATTTCGAGAGTAAATTTTTCTAAAACATTATTTTTCAGTTAGAATCACGTATGTGTTATATAACATTACGACAATAATCACAAAAGCCACCTCGTCATATTGAAAAATAACATCAAAAAATGGAGATAATTATTGAAAAATTGCATATTGTTAGTGGCAAGTTTATTTGGCTCTTAAAAATTAACTAAGAAATGTGTTAACATGAGACAAAAAGCAAAATGCTCAGAAGACATGGTTTTGACAAAAAAATAATGTTTTAGGAAAATTTGCTCCCGAAATTATTGCACAGAATATTGTAGTTAAGGTAAAAAACAACCATTCAATAAACCTTGTATAATAAAGACCAATACTAAAATTGTTAAAAAACTGACTTCACAATTAAAGTTGATATATATCTATATGTCGCACCCACTAAGTACAATTGTTCGTTTCATGAAATGGATATCCACTTCGCGAACTGGATAGGTTAGGTTAGGTTAGGTTCGCGATCTGGTTAGGTTTCAGTTCGCGAAGTGGATATCCATTTTATGAAATGGACCAACACTAAGTGGGTGGGACATATATAGTTTGACAGAAACAATCATGAAAATTGGGCTAAAAATAAAAAAATATAACACTTTAAGTTTGACAACAAATTTTCCGTTGTATTTTTTGCATCTCAGTGTATATGAATGAATGATAGATAAAATACAGTAAGTTAGAATTCAAACTATCCTTACTTGACCTAATCCTAAATGAAAGTTTGTAAAGAAAAAGTCATTTATTGGCCTAGTATAAAGGTATGGTAATAAACTAAACCAAAAAGTATCATCTCTTGTTAAAAATCTAGAAAATCTGGTGTTTTCTGGATTTTTGTCCATTGTTTCATATGTCCAGCCAGGAGCAAAAATAGCCATTGATAGATTATATTTTGACACCAATTCCACTGCCTAAAAGGATATTTTAAAATAAGCTAGTGGCATTTTGACAGATATTACCTTAAATGTATTAAATTGACCTCCTCCAAACATATTTCTACCAAATACATCAACCCCAACAAAAACATCAAAACGTCTAGAACCTGCACACTTAACTGTATTTGCCAGTTTTTCCTCATTCCAACAATAGTTTAAAAATATTCCATCACACAAATCAAAGAAACATCTAAAAACATCTTCAAATAAACATAATAACATATCATCAATACAACTCTAGTTACTTATTTTCACAATTCAGTTGGTCTTGCCATAACAGTTTACCATCTTTTGTTACACTATCATACCAAATAACAATATTTTCACTATTATCTTTATGGATGTTCTGGGTTAAAACCTCAACAAACCCTTTTAAAAGATCAGGATGCTTTACTTCATTCTCGATGTTTAGTAACCAGCCATCAAAACCAAATAATTTAACTATTTCAGTTAAGTGAAAAGCAAATTCTTTCATTGAATCTCTGTTATTAAAAATGCCTTCGTCGCAAATCTTAGCACCATCAGTAAATTCAGTAATCAATGTGCCTAAAATTTACTACTACATTATAATCCATCAAGTCTATCTCATAAAAACTTTTTTATTAATGAGTAACATTTTCTTCACTTATTTTCTCATTCAGTCATTTAGCTGATGATATGCTTGATCATAAAACTTTTGATACTAATGTGTTTATTCATATTTCTAAAATTAAGTTAAATTAACTGTACCTAATATTTTGACTCCATTCTTATGAGCAGCATTTATCCAACTAAGAGGTGGTATAGTTATAAAGTGATGACTAAAATATACAAAATAGTCAATTTGGGACCAATTGTAAAAAGTGTATCCTTCTTTATCTATATGTTTTTCATCGCCATCTTTGACAGGAACATAGCTTAAATTATATATAATGAACTTGTTGCCATATCATACAATTTTCTACTTACGAATCAGTTAAATATCCTCCTTTGTAATCATGACAAATTAATGTTTTTGGAACAGTACGAGAATCTAATCTGTTATGTATATAATGATCACTCTCAATACTATGGCAATCTGAAAGACTGTTTTTAACTACATACTGACATCTCTTTTTCAAGGGAACAACTTTTTCAACCCATTGTGGAAGATTAGACAGACAATCTTCAATATCTGAATATTTCTTTATCGGATCACAAGTAATAAAATTTTGTTCAGTAGTTTTCGGGTTAGAGAAGGAACTAACATCACTGGTCTATGAAATACACTTATTAATTTAAAACTACATATTTATATACCTACATTTACTTACTTGATTCAAATACAATGGCCGTTTATTTTGAAAACTCATTTTATATTTAATCCGTCACACACACAACAACTTTTACATACTTAATGAAATAAAATAGTATTAGATAATAGGCAGTTTAGGCCTAATTGTGGCAGTGAGATAAAGCAAATGCACTTCCTCCTATTAGATAAGTTTCAATATGTAATTGGTCCTTGATGTTTTATCTTGTTGTGTTGCAGTATAAAATATGCCAGAATTATTTTTAATTTTAAAAGCATATTATGTATTAATCACTATTTACAGTATTCTTGTTTCATAGGCAGGCAAGAAATAAAAAATAATTTGTTTTCTTTAACAACCCTACAGAGCATCTACAGAGATTTCAAAGAATTAGGTTATCTTATATCTTATCGACAATCTAGGTTAGGATCAGTTAGGATTGTCAATGTCAAATAAAAAGATAAACAAATACACAAAACAGTTCAGAGATCACATACAACCGATACAACATACAATCAGAAATCAGTGACAACCTGGCACAACTGATAAATATTAAGTGGAGAACTTAAATACCAAATATTATAAAAATCTATATCTAAACATGGGAAAATCTTGTTTTTATTACTCTTATAAAATAATACATGTGTAATGAAGTAATAAAATGTATATTTACAAATTTCTACTTGGAAATTTAATCCCAATACTTAATTAAACCATCCCAACCAGCTGTCATCACTTTACTTGGTTCGTGGGGATGCCAAAGAGAACCAATACACACACCATCATGTGCCTTCCATTTTTTGTACAATTTGGTGGTTTTCCAGTCCCATATAAAACATTTTCCGTCAGCATCTCCTGAGACCAAATACGAAAGATCAGGTGAGAAATCTAATTGGCAGGCATATCCTGCTACCATATGACCTAAAAAAAAAACATATAAAATAATGTATAATATATATAAAAAAAATATGTACGTACCTGTAAATGTTTTTTTCCTGTTTAGTTTAAATCTATTTAATGCAGAAAAAATCACAATTTTATTGTCCATACTCTGACATGCTAACCATTTACCTAAAAAGAAAGATGAATAACTGTATTAGGTTTTGTGGTATTTATAAAAAATAATATCTACCATTTGGACTTGGAGTTACAGCTGGCATACTGTGCATAGTCGGATCAGCAATATATTTCATATCAACTGGTATATTCCATTCCCACACTCTTAATGATTTGTCATCGGAAGTAGTAACAAAACGTCTGTTTTCGTCAACAAAAGTTATGGTATTTACAGCGCCCAAATGCCTGTGTGAAAGGTGTTTAGATTAGAAAATAATGTATATTGTAAATGTAGCCACATAAGGAAAATATACTTTACCTATCATATTCTTGAACAATATCGCCTGATCTTGTATCCCAACAAATAATTTTCTTGTCAGACGTACCAGCTACAAACAGATGCTGCTTATTATGATCGGGATTGAATTTTACGCAGTAAGGTATTTTTCTACTAGTAAATCGCGATATAACACGTCCAGTTTCAGTGTCCCATAACTTGATATATCTAAAATAAAATAGCTAGTGATATTAGTAAGTCAATAATACTAATAGGATTAAGTTTACCTATCGTAACCAGCTGATAGGAAATGATGTCCACTATTATTGAAGTTAATATCTCTAACTGCTTGTCTGTGGCCATAATAAGTCCTGATACATCGCCTTTCGTTGTAAACTTCCCAGAGTTTGATTTTGGAATCCATACTACAAGATAAAAATAGATGTGCTGTTTTTGGAAACCATCGAATTGCAGATACACCTTTTGTATGTCCAGACCAGGTATGAATGTGAGCTTTTGGCAAGAAACATTTTTCTGGTGGAGTGTCTAGAATAAGTAAATATTATAACTTCAAATTTGCCTTTGATGGTAAAAGTATTGCAACCCCCATTATTATATGTTTCATCATAATAGCATAAAAAATTTACCTGACTTAAGATTAACACCAACATCTTGGGGAGCGTGCAAGAATGATCTTCCTTGATAATCAACTGCATCTTTAATATGCAGAACAGATTTTTCTTCAAATTGTTTTTCTTCCACTTCTTTCCCTCGCCTATTTCTTTTAGAAACCAGTTCTTGAAGCTCGGCTTGCTCTTCTTCTGTTGGTTTCATTACTCTTTGTTCTCCAACAAATCCACCCCATGGACCTAACAAAATATTATAAATAAAGTCTAAAGTAACAACAGTAAATAACAATAAAACAAATTAAATACCTAAAAATCCTTCTACATCACTTGGATCATCATTTTTCTTTCTTTTTCTTTTATCTAATGGTCTCAATTTAGTATTTTCAAAAACGGTTTTCATATCTGAATCAGGTGTTTCTTCTGATCCTCCAATTACTTTATGTAATTCCTTTTCGGTAGTACTTACTGAAGGATCCAATGCATAACCGAAACTAGCAAACGTTCGCCTTTGATTCTCAAACTGAAATTCACTGACATGTGCAGGCTCAATATGCCCTAAAAAAACAAAAAAAAATGAATAAAACAAAATCAATGAAATACAAAAATTCTGAAATAAAACTACAAGGCATCAATACCGACCTGATAGTATATTTCTTTCGATTGCTTGTTGTTGCGTCTTAAAAGGATTTACTGGCCCTACGACTGGTGCAAATAGTTCATCATATTTTGGGTTATACTGGAGCTCTGATGTATCAGGGTGAATATGAATTTTATCTTCATCTATAGCGGGGGGTAAGACTACGGGGGTTGCACAAACCTGAAGATCTTTTTTAGATGAAAACTTTTGGAGTTCCGGCGGTAGAGTTTCGTAAGGCGTTCCATTTGATTTTTCTTGAACTGCTGTTTGATCAGATTCTTCATCACTACTACTATTATAAGCTTGCAGTGATAACATTGTGGCAAATAAGTATATTGTACAAATAATAATAATATAACGCAATACAAAAATATTGTTATGATTTTCCTAACCTATTTAAACGACTGACAAATAAGTGACAGTTTTGATTTTTCATATAAGTAGTTTATTTATTCTATGGAGGACATGACCATAGATTCTAGAAAATTTAAAACTCAGAGTAAGAAAAAAGTATAATTTGAGCTTTAAAATGCAATATTTTTAAAAAGATTTTATTTATTTTCTTGTAACATTTAAATTTTCTTTTTTTAAGTTTGAAATTATAAACACAGGCATAAGAATTGAACAAATTATTAGTTTATTATTTTTGTAATCCAATTTATATTGTCAACTATTATTATTATTGTCAATATGTTGTCAATTTTATTATATCATGTCAGTTTAAATTTTCGTAGATTTATACAAAAAAATAAAAAATATATAATAAATATCATGGGCAATGCAGAAACAAAACCAAGATCTAATAATAATTTAAAAGACGATACAATACAAACACAAATACCTTCTCATATAACGTAAGAAAGTGTTAAGTTTACTAAAATGGTCATAAACTTCGTCATGTAAAGAATATAAATATTTTTAGGAAACCTACATCAAATTTAGTCCTTGCTTATAATGAAGGCCAATTCCACCCATGTATAATCTTGGACAGGGCAAGAAACATATCAAACGGTTACGAAGTGTTTTTCCTTCATAATCAAACTGAAACTGAAATATTTTCCGGAAATGTAATAGGAAATTTCAAGGCAATACCTTTATTTTCACTAGTCTAGATTTATTAGTTATAAAATAGGCACTTTTGTAAATGAATATACTCAAGTATGCGTACCTATACAGGGTGTCCCATAAATAGTGCAAGTATTTTAAGGGGTGATAGATCTCGATAAAAGTTAATCGTTTTTCAAATTAAGTCCATAATAACGGAGTTGTTTAAAAAAAATTAAAATTTTGAGAACCACTGGATCTTTTCTGGATTTTCTATGTTGTAAATTTAATCTAATAGGTACCTATGTTGCCATATTATCAAGAAATTATGTTTTTTAACGAAAAACTAAAAAAAAAATCAAAAAATTTTGAATTTTCAATTTTTTTTTTCGCGAAAAAAATCTCATAGGCGTGTTTCTGGGGTTGAACTATACTATCAGTTAAAATACTTACACTTATTTCTGGGCCACCCTGTGCTTTTAATAATAATGTAGATATTAAGAAATAGATAAAAAAATAGGGGGATTTTTTTTTAATATTCCCATTCTTTCTATACATATATAGTCTTTCTTTTAGTTCCTTCCTTCCGTTTAGTTTCTTTGTTCAATGATTTACTTATACAAAACAAATAAAAATTGTCGTTTCATGTATCCACCAGGGCATTAAAAATCTAAAATTCTCTCAAGAGTAAAGTGGTTATACAGGGTGTCCCAATATTACGTGGTCATAGAACTACTACGTATTTTATTGGAATCAAAATAAGTTCTTTAGACACAATTTACCTCTATACAAAAATGCTTCGTTTGTCCGTTAGAGGGCATCAAACTTTAAAAAAATTAAAAGCATTTATTCGGATATTTTAAGAACCGTGTTATTCCGACTTGAATGAAATTTTGGGTGTTTATGTTTTGCTAAGTGCTTTAACATTTGACTTTCACAAAAATAAAGAAAAGGTACGGGAAGGGTGGAAACTATTCTTTTTTCGTAAAAGATAAAGGATTATACTGTATCCGTGTGAGGTTCAAGTTAACATCTCCTTTCTGCTGCAATGGCTAAACTGGACGGGACCTACTTGTTTACGCGGAATCCGAACCGCGGTCCTCGGCCATATCATGGTAAATGGCCTACCGACTTAGGAAGTGTCTAAATTAACTCTTACTCACGAGATATCCGATCTCATCAGGCCTTGAACCGGCGTGAATGAGCAGTGTGTATCAATAGATTTTACACTTTTCCCTTTTGGACAACAGCACGATGCGAGGACAACAGCACGAAGTTTCGAACCGGTCACCCGTCCATCCACTAGCATCGCCTTACGTCGCTTAACTTCGGTGTTCTAATGGGAACCGGTGTTTCGACGTAGCTGGGCCGTTGCCCTACTGTATCCGTATTGTAGCACATTTTTTATTGTAGCACAAGATTTAGACAACTTTTTTATTTTTAAGATTTTAATGATTAAACATCAACAAAATAGTCCTTATGTTTGGAGTTTGGACTAAATTTTTTCGAAAATAAAGACATAATTTAAAATTCCGTTACAGTATGGAAATAAATTGAAGTTTTGTGATTACAGTGATGTATAATTTATATGGTTTTGTAACGAATTGCTCGCTATTTTATGGCAAATGCTGAAGCTCTGCAAACCTTAATCAAAGCACCTGTGTTTGGAATTTTGGGTGTGGCTTAACACGACAGGATCGGGCTAAGCCTTAGGCAGATTTCTGAAATATAATATATACTTCCTTCGCCCACACACCCGCTTTACCCGACCCCTGAGTGCAACCCGAAAGTACAGCGGAATAGACTCTTAAAAATGTGTTTTATCTTTTTAAAGTTTAATGCTCTCTAGCGGACAAACGAAGCACATTTATATAGAGGTAAAATGTGTTCAATGAACTTAGTTTGATTCCAAACATACGTACTAATTATATGTCTACGGAATATTGGGACACCCTGTATAATTAGTGGTTTCCATGACAATGTTATAAGATTTAATTTAGATAATATTTTCAGTTCAGTAATGATTATATTTTATGAATGTAATAATGAATGACACCATATTTATATTTCAGGCTCTTCTAGAATGCGAAGTGAGTTTCACTATAGACGGCCAAAGTTATACAGGAAAAGTTTTCGATATGGCCAACAACGACCAAAACGAAACCAGGAACTTTTTCATATGTTGCGACAATCAGTATTTCTGGGTTTCCTTCCCGTTTATCTATTTAACTCCGGAACAAGCGAGACAACTCCGTTAAAAATATGTTATTAAGCGTGCGAAATTTATAGAACTGGATTATGAAAATAAATAATTGATTTATGATGCATTTTTTAATTTCTGTAGAGGCTATAGACTCTAGAGGTTCCCATACTTTTTTTGTCGTAGATCACTTTCAAAGTTTTACTGGTTTACTGGACCTCCTGCTGCTACATTTTTACAATATTCTCAAAATTCGCTCAAAATTGTAAAGATTAGATCTAAAGGTACGTTCATAGTGCACCGGCTTTCCGGTTTCCGGTAGCCGGCTTTTTTCGCGGCAGATCTTATCGCTTTTTGAATCTGCGCCATTGAAGCAGATAGTGGCTATTAACCGCTTGCAGGAAGCAGGGGTGTCATTTAGCATCATGTAGCTATCCCGTGGGTATCTATTATGTCTTTTATTAGCTAATGATTGTGTTCATATTAAATTGATACAAAGAAGTACCACTCGCGTTTATGAAATTAATCGGTGTCCTATTTTGAATTTGGTAAATACCAGTCGTTATATCCACAACTCATAGCTCAGCATCAAAAATTTTACGAATATTTTCGCATGGAGAAAGAAACGTTGAAATATATTTCCAACAAAATTGAAAACAGTTTGAAAAAAATGCTGCATGCAATTTTCAAAATATATAGATGCACACGAGATGGTTATGATTAAATCGATTAATTTTAATAATTTTGTAAGTAAATAACTTGAATTGTGACAAAGCATAATCTTTCTTGGAAGTTTAGAAATGAGTCAAGAAGGATAGATTAAGTTTGGAGAGTTGAATTGGTTTCAAAAGAGGTAGCGATGATAAAACTGTTGAGCGGATGAAGCGGACAAACGACAAAAAGAAACAATTAATTCTGGTAAAAGCGGGTTAAAGCAGTTTAAGCCGGTTGTATTCACAGCTAGTCTGCCACGATAAAGCGAAAAGCAGGAAGCCAGTGCACTATGGACGTACAGTAAGGGTACGTCCATAGTGCATCCGCTTTCCGATGGCCGTTTTTTTTTCGCGGCAGATCTTATCGTTATGTGAATCTGCGCCATTGAAGCAGGTAATGGTCATTAACAACCGCTTGCAGGAAGCGGGATGTCATTTAGCATCATGTATAGTTATCCCGTGGGGATATGTGTCTTTTTATTAGCTAGTGATAATGTCCACATTAAAAGACTAATACAAAAAAGTACTACTCGCGTTCACGGAATTAATCGGTCTGTTTTTGAATTTTGTAAATATCATACATTATCCACAACACATAGCTCACCATCAATAATTTTATATTTCCGTATGGAGAAAGAAAAAACAAAATTGAAAACCAATTAAAAAAATGCTGCAATTTTCGGGGTCTGCGCATATCACTTTTAGGTAGTGATACACAAATGTGCGATCAAGACCAAGACTTAAGAGGAGACAACTGCCGAGCTGGCCTCTGTGGAGCCGTCTCAGATACTGGCTTTTGTTAAAGCCCTGAGACTGTATGATGAGTTATAACTCGTTATAACTTAAGAAATAGATCCCACAATAGCTCTATAAGGTCACGGTGATTAACTCCCCTCCTAAACATTCTACATTCTACAAGACCAAGAGGGCAACGGCCTAGCTACGTCGAAACACCGGTTCCCATTAGAACACCGAAGTTAAGCGACGTAAGGCGATACTGGCGGATGGACGGGTGACCGGTCCGAAACTCTGTATCGTGCTGTTGTCCAAAAACAAAGGCAAAAGTGTAAAATCTATTGACACACACTGCTCATTCACGCCGGTTCGAGGCCGGATGTGATCGGATATCTCGTGAGTAAGAGTCGATTTAGACACTTGCCAAGGTCCCATCCAGATTAGCGCTGGCAGCAAAAAGGAGACGTTAACTGAAATCTTTACTTTACTTTACAAGACCAAGACTTCCTTGCTCTTGATCTTTCAGGGCTTGTACTGGTTTTAGTCTTGTTGCAAATCTTGCACTTTTTAGTGGATTTTCACACTTTAGACACTTTTTACATAGAAACTCTTTAAATAAATAGTATCTTAAGTAATTTATGCAAATAAAACATTTTGAATGGAACAATATTTATTTGATGTATTTTCTTTTAATTTTCAATATATTATATTCGATTGGGCACTGCTTCCTTTGAAATTTTATTCAAAAGACGGGAAAACACTATCTGCAATAAATTAAATAAAACATTTTCAGAAAACAAGTAACTTTTTATATTTATTTTTCCGATTGTTTCAAAAAACATGAGCGCAAAAAAAATGATGGCTACCAATAGTTTTGAAGAAACCTTGTTTATTATTTTATATTTAGGAAATTATAAGGGGATAGAATGTAAAGAAATTTTGTTATTTTTATATTTTTTTGATACCTAAAAAATGGGATATAAATAAAAAACATAAAAAAATGATCGCAAGTCTTGCATGCCGATTTTGGTCTTAGTATTGCAGGTCTTGTTTTTGTGCACGATCAAGATTACGCTGTCTGGATCGTAACAATTGATTTAAAACCGGTTGATATACCCTCCAAGCGACATACAAGCGACATACGCGCGCAGCGTCCAAGTGTACTTCTAGCAAGTACACTGCGCGTGACTCTCTTGTACGCTGCTTGAATCGTATCAACTGTTTTGTCCAAGTTAACCCCTTCTGGTGCAATCGGAAATATGTACTAAAATCTCAAAATATTTTTTTTTTGATCGAATAATCCCCATTATTAAGCCGGTCCCACACGATGTGTCAAACACCTTCCAACGTTGGACAAATGAACATTTGCCACATCGTGTAGGAGACACACTTTTGAATTGCAATACTGTCGAAGCCTATACCAAATGATGCGTCCAACATTGGTTTCAGCGTTGGAAGTATCGTGTAGGACCGGCTTTAGTATTTGTTGCAAATTTTCAGAATTTTCCTTATGGTGGTTTTGTTAAACCAATCAAAATTGGTAGGAGAACCACTCTGTTTTGTAAGTGAGCCTGCATTATTTAAAGGAAGTTATTAATCGTACCTATTAATACATAAAATCATAAAACTGATTTAGACCTATTTCCAACAATTCGATGTATTTTTAACAAAAAAAAATGGTTAGTATGATGAAAGATAACAGAACTTATGAATGAAACTATGAACCTAATAAGCATGCCGGACGATACAATAACAAAACATTAATTTCAGTCAAGTTATTCAAAGAACTAAAACAATAACTTTTGTTTCTTACTAATCTAAAAATAGTACACGATATTTCTTCACTTTAATCAGAAATCGTACAAACATGCTCTTAATAGAACCGATAAAAAGAAATATGTCTGTCTCCATTCATCAGAGTCTCGTGGTCTTTTATCTTTAAGACGCCATACTCATCGAATGTAAAAAGAACAAGAAGTACCGATTTGAAGGTAATTTACTTTTAATTTTATGTCTTTACGAGGAAGACTTAAGAAGTACGAATTTAAGAACTGGCAGTTAAAAATGGAATAATTTTTTTTACAGTACAACAATGACATTTTTAGCTATGTCCAGCAATCTTAGAGCTTGAATTTTCACAAGAGTTAAATTTTTAAAAACGGTACAGTACGCTACTCTCCCTACTGTGATTTTGATACCGTAAACAACTTACCGAAGACAGTAAAATATGTGCGTCTCTCAGGGGAGGATGCAGAGGATGTCCAATGGGCCCTGACCTATATGCTGGAGTTTTTTAGGTTGCACACCCATCGTAGAAAACAGAGAAACGATAAGAACGATACGCATTATTTAATTAATTAAAGTCCAATATTCTTATTTAATAAGTGTATTTGTTAGCATCAAAGGTTCCAACCTAAAAAATAGAATTTATACATAAAATATACATGGTCGTGTTTCAAGCGTTGGAGCACTTGGAGCGTAACCTTGAATAGATTTTCCTTATTGCTAATAAAATAATTATTAATACTATTAATCTATATGTATAAATAATTATTATGAAATGCTGTTCGTTGCTAAGCCAAGCACTTGACCGTTGCTAAGCCAACCGCTGATGGATAGCTAATTTCTTTTTTAAAATATATTTAATACTCAGATTAAGAATATTAGATATTAGGGAACAAAAGATTGGAAAAGTTATCTGCAAAATTCGCAAATTCTCGTAGAATTGACATTTACGAAGTTTATACTGAAACATTTCCAGAGCTATAATTCATGAAAGTTTTGAATAACTGCTAGACATAATTTTTATCTGTATTTACAAATAATGTTAGGTGTATCACAAAGACATAGACACAGAAAGAATAGCATCATTAAAGTGGAAATGTGTTACATTACCAGGACTTGGAGCTGTAAGAAATAAAGGAATAACAGGATAACAAGACTTTAACAAGACAGCATGACTATGAAAGTCTTATCAACATAAACCAGGATACAGAAAGGGGGGGGGGGGCACAGAACAGGGAGAGATAGTCAAAAAAGAAGGGAGGCACATATCTATCAGTGAATTTCATAATATATTTCTCATAATCTAAATATCTATTTTTTACATTTCTTATAGATTATCATCCTTATGGGCTGCGTGTTTTCAACCTTATTTTATGGTGCCGATGCATAGATCTTTAAAATAACCGAAATCAACGAACTAGTAGCTTTTGAAAGATGGTGTTATCGTCGCATGTTAAAAATCTCTTGGATCGACAGAGTTACAAATATCGAGATGCTACGCACTATGAACAAAGAAGAAGAAATATATAAAACCCTCAAGAAAAAAATTAGAATATTTTGCACATATTACTTATTATCATCATCATTTTGAGTTTATTCAATCATTTCCAATTATGGTGTAGCCTCACTCACATATTTAGATAGTCCCTTTTGTAGTTGGACCCATTGTACTATGTTGTTTATGCGTGTCCAAGTTATCCCTGCTAATTTCCTAATATCATGGTCCCATCTCAGGTTCTCAGTTCTCGGTCTTCTTCAGGTTCTCGGTGTTATCTCAGGTTTTCGGTCTTCTTCTAGGTCTCTTAATTCCTTGTAGGTACCATGCTGTATTTTTTTTGATCCATCTGTTATCCGTCCTTCTTGCTAGGTGTCCTGCCCATTGCCACTTGA